GTGGCTGTGTGGTACTCGGTTGCCAACTGAGGTTAAACCACAACAATGAAACTCCAGTATTTAGTCAGAAATGCACGTCCAATTTTCCTCCCTAGAAGTGGAAGAGGCAACGAAAGTAGACATTTTCTACAACTTCTGTGGGTTGTCTCCCTTGACCTTCTGTCACTGTTCCCGTTGGGAGGGCATAGCCCCTTAGCTAGATCACAGAACTCTACACCTGCTACACGATAAGGGCAAATCCAGATGCCAACACAGAATAAACCAGCACTTTGACGCTGCTCTCACACCAGGTGCAGCTCTTCATTTTTCCTTATGGAAAGAGGGGGGCTTCATGGGGCCAAAGAGATGGAGAGCAAGAGTGTGCACAACCTCCAAGTACTGTTTCTGAATAGGCAGAACCTCACTTTAAGGGATTTTTCTTCCTGTAGAATGATCTCCTGTGTTCCCTTTTTCAATCTCGCAGGAGCCCTCATCAAATCAGAATTCTCATGACCCTAGCCTGGGGAGGTGGACCAAATGTGGCACATCTAAAATTCAATCATCTCACATCTTCTTAAGGTTGAGATGTCCCACGGTAAGTCAATAGGACTGAGGAACATTACAAAAGCTGTGAACTTGTCAATTGCAGGCTGGAGAAAAGCCAGGAGGAATCACCAACAGCACCACATTTTACATAATGTTCTTGCTTTTCTAACTCTCCCAGTTCTCCTTTGCACTGCTTTGCACAGTTTTATTATACTTCATTTATTTTAAAGGTCTGGGAGGTGTTTTTGAGGATGTGCATATTGGGATGTTTTGTTGCACGCTGCCAAGTGGTCTTGGACTAGAAGAAGATCAGACTTACCTGTCATAGTGTCATAGGCATACTACAAAAGGGCAGAGAAACATGAAACAGGAAAGTGGAGGATTGTGAAACATGTCAGATGAAAACCAATAGCTAAAAAGTTCAAGCAGGTTCAGACACATTTTAGAACTAGCTAAGGAAATGTTACTAAACATGAAAAGTGGTACTTAGCACTTTAGCTGGCAATCTGATATTAATGGTAGGTGTTACAGCTTGGTCCTTGGAGAAACATTAATTGCTTTAGTTGTGCAACATCTGATTAGGAGATCTGTTCTACGAACAGCAATAATTTCCTCATTCCATCCTCTTCAGAATAGTGATCAACTTTCCACTAATTTAATGGAACAAGATTGGGCTAGATATTTTGGCATATATATTCACATTACCACACACAGCACCAGGAAATCAAGGTGACATCAAACCCGAATGTTCCTTGGTGCTTTCGCAGTGGTATTCGCAGCTGACAATATCTCAGCACATGAAAACTAGCTCTATGAGTAGATTGCAAAATTCTTTTACCAACGTTACTTTCTGTCAGAACCCTTGAAACTGAGGAAATAGCGCATCTGATACCTGCTTTATTCGAGGGAGAATATTACACCTGCAGAAGCAAGCAGATTGTTGTTGACAAGTTTCTATCTAAAAAAAAAGTGTAACGGAAAAAATGGCAGTACCAACTCCATAATAGTATCCTACTAGTGTAGTGCTGTTATCCAGAACTGTTTCAGTGCATCGAAGTGCAAAAATTTTTGAACATTGCTTAGTGTCTCCATAGATTCTTTCCATCGCATATAAGAGTAGCATAAAATCCTGTGGCTTTACAACATTAAAAATAAAATTTCATGTTTAGAGAAGAGGCACAATGCTTCTGAGAGCTCTGCTGTGTATAATACTTGGGGTGATGCTGTGTATGTTTGTGTCTCTGTTCTGGTAGCTCATACAATAAAAGGGGCAAAATAGCTACTTGTATTATTCCTTTTTGCAGCCACATTAGACAGAGAAAGAGCCTTCTGAAGGGAAAAGTGTCCTAGGAATCTGCTATCTTGATCAGTGAGAGATCGACCGTGCTTGAGAAGAGGATGGGGGGTTATGATCTACCCTTCTGGATTCTTAAATACCAGTCTTTGAAACGCAGCAGTGGAAGACAAGGAGGAGGAGGAAGAAACTGCAGTGAGTCCAGCAAAACCTACTTTTTTACTTCTTTGGTTAAGGCTTCACATATCATAGAATCATAGAATCATAGAATCATTAAGGTTGGAAGAGACCTCCAAGATCATCGAGTCCAACCATCAACCCAACACCACCATGCCCACTAAACCATGTCCCTAAGCGCCTCATCTACCCGTCTTTTAAATACTTCCAGGGATGGTGACTCAACCACTTCCCTGGGCAGCCTGTTCCAATGTTTAACTACTCTTTCAGTAAAGAAATTTTTCCTTACATCCAATCTAAACCTCCCCTGGCGCAACTTGAGGCCATTTCCTCTCGTCCTTTCGCCAGTTACTTGGGAGAAGAGACCGACACCCACCTCGCGACAACCTCCTTTCAGGTAGTTGTAGAGAGCTATGAGGTCTCCCCTCAGCCTCCTTTTCTCCAGGCTAAACAACCCCAGCTCCCTCAGCCGCTCCTCATAAGACTTGTTCTCCAGACCCCTCACCAGCCTCGTTGCCCTTCTCTGGACACGTTCCAACATCTCAACATCCTTCTTGTAGTGAGGGGCCCAAAACTGAACACAGTATTCGAGGTGCGGCCGCACCAGTGCTGAGTACAGGGGCACTATCACTTCCCTGCTCCTGCTGGCCACACTATTTCTGATACAGGCCAGGATGCCGTTGGCCTTCTTGGCCGCCTGGGCACACTGCCGGCTCATGTTCAGCCGGCTGTCGACCAACACCCCCAGGTCCTTTTCCGCCAGGCAGCTTTCCAGCCACTCTTCCCCAAGCCTGTAGCACTGCATGGGGTTGTTGTGGCCGAAGTGCAATCTTTTCAATCATTAAAGTGCCTGCACAGTACAAAAACCCCACAGAAATAGATGAACAGAGGGCTTTGTTTCTAAATACCTAGAAGTCTTCTAAGAAGTAAAATGATATGATAATTGAGCTACATTCCATTGAGGAATAAAACCTAGAAATGTTAATTACACTATCATAAATTAAAGAAGTGTTTTCTATACTATGCAGCTAATGGCAAGAATATTTTGGCACTGAGGTTAGAAATGTATTTGAAATTTTTAGGAAACATAAAAAAATACAATTATATTTTCAGAAGGAAAGGTAGAACTAAGAAAACACGTAATATTTTTTATTACCCTAGAAAATACAATCTTTGACAATACTCAGCCTGTGTTTTTCCTGATTTCAGGTACTCTCTCGTTTAACTTTTAAAGTTTTGTTTACAGTAATCTTACCTCAACATAAATGTAATTTTTGCACTGTGAATTTTTATTGGG